TGAATACTTCAGCTAAGGCTAGCCTCATGGTTTTAGAGGGGTAGGGATGGCAGGGTCAGTTGTGTCATGGTCCTGTTGTGTTATGTCCTGTCCCATCCTGAATCAATGTCATCATCCATCTTAGTGACTTTCTTTGGAAGGGGTTTTGATAAAACTTTATGCGTTGTCAGTTACAAAAATACCACTGATATTGCGGTTCAAAGTTCAAAGATCAAGGTCACTGTTACTGTTTATAGCAGTACTTATACACAAGGAAATCAGTTACATTGACAAGTTGATACATTGAGTTACACACAAATATTTTCAAACTAAAATTGTCTCTGAAATTGAAACACTATAATTGGAAAATGGTCGCTTCAGATGTATAACCACACAGTGTAACCTATCTACCGACCTGATCAATTCCACTGAATTCAGACATTATTATTAAATCTACTTTTTATTCATCATTTTGAAGATCTAATATGTCCATTTGAAAGACTAGCTGGAGATATGTATTTATATACGTTACTGGTTTGTTTGATCTTTAAATGAACTTTTATGTGATCACATGTAATCTCTCAATGGAAAGATTTTTAAAAGACGATAGTAATTGTATGAAACAATATTTATATGACCATAATGACAAAAGGAAAGACATTTCAGTATGGAGATGACATTAATATATCTTAATTTAGATTTATATTCAAGATACTTGGTGAAAATGATCTTTGTGAAGCTAGCCATATTTTGATGGCAATATGAATTGGCAGTATTTCATTGCAATTTGTCAAAGAAGATATTATTTAAATGCTTCCAATATGTGTTATTATTGTGTGTTTGTAGCAAAGATAGTAAATACCTGTTAAACCTTGACAGTCAGTCTGAAATAATTAAGAATCCAGAATTTTAGAGATGGCCAATGATTATAAAGCGTTCAAAATGTATTTTAAGAAAACCACCCGCTGTTAAACTCCCATATTCAGTTCACATGTATCCACAAATCTAAATTGTCGAAAAAAGTGACAGATGTTGTAAGTTATGATTTAGCCATTGATAGATACATCTAATGTGTTTTCATCTTCACTGTTTAAACATTATCAATGTTGGCAGAGTATTCAATTGGGTATGTTACAAAGATTTGTTTAAGGCCCAAGGTCAAATTTGAAGACTGTGTAATGAGATATTTTACTATGGTTGCCAATGAAAATGGCATGGCAGATGCTGGGCCTAGTTAAGTTTTTTTCTGTTCAAAATTCAACTGGCTTTTTTTTCTGTCTGAATGATGAAGTTCTACAATACAAGTGTTTGTGATGTTGAAATTGCAAATGGGATAAAAAAGCCATGAATAATATTTATAAAATATATCTTACTTTGTGTAATTGGGGATTTGAGAGCCTATCATTGTAAGATAGGAGGATAAAAATGTATTTAGAATTATAACTTGTTGTGATAGGTACATGGCAATGTTGGTCATGATACTAATCATCCTCAACATCAGACTGACCAACTTATCGGTGAGCCAGAGGTCACTATTGGTCAGTGATGACCACTGAATAGGGTAGGTAATAAAAATGGCATCCATTTATCCCTGTAACTAGATAGCATCTGTTGGCTAGGCTCACTAATCCTGCAATTACTGGTCAGCCAAGCACCTGTCAGGACAGGCAAGGAAATAGTATAGGCAGTGGATGTTTGGCATAGGAATGTAGCAAGAATTAACTAGCTTCGGCAGGTAGTGATCACTTAGTATTTGATGAGATATTTAACGATGATATTAGAGGTTAATTTAAGGATGTAGACATTCTGGAGGGTTCCGTGTCTGTGAACCAAATGTTATGGTATGTAGGTCCTTATCAGCACTATCAATTTCAATCAGGATGTATTCTTTGTGTTTATGACATGTACAAGAAAAAGTTTTTTTTTCCATATACATTAGAACATTGACCTGCTTCTAGATACCGTAAATCAGTTTTAAACTGCCAATCTACATATTTCAAGTACAACTCTAACTGTTCCATACACCATTAGGCCTTAATGTTTGAGATTCCAGTGTATTTTATGATTTTAAGTGACCTTTAGGGACCACAAGGGATACTTGTCACATATAACTAACATTCACTTTAAGAAATTTATATTAATTGTTACACTTGAAATTTCTGAAGGTAGAAATCATAACGGAATATAGTTATCAATTTGAAATTCATTGTGGTACATGGGCACCTTAAAATACATATGGACCCATGTTTTATATTTGATGAAGGTGAATTTTTACCTAAAAGCTTAATATAAATGCTGTAGAAATGGAGAAATTTCAGGTACCTGATGTGACAGCTGGGAACAGTATTATGCAGGTAAAAATAGCTTGAATTTCATCAAGGCTAATTTTAGTTGGGATATATATAGAAAGCACCTGCTCTTATGTTTAATAAAGAGAACAGCTGCTAGCTGCATATGATCTGTGATGGTGTAACTATTACATTACAAAACAGGATTTTCTTTTAACATATACAAAACTCAAGTGCTAATTCTCTTAATTTGAGTAATTGATTAGTTAAAGAAATTAGAGCTAAATATATAAATGAAAAATCGAAATTTTTACAAAACTAAGGAATGACCTTCAGGATGTATTGTTTGTTAAATGGTTGATGATATGATTTTGTTGAAATGACGAAAAAAGAGAAATTGAGGGAGCTCGTAATTTGTGGCATTGGAAAAGAAAATGTACAATTTCTGTGGCTAATACCTTATTATCTTGTCTTCAATTTACCCATTTTTTTATCAAAATGAACTTTTTTATCATCACTTCACAATTTTATATATCAAGAAGATAATGCAAGATTTATGATGTCTGGCATAGTTTTTCAAGGTAACATAAGAATTTTGTTTGAGATCTTTACATGGCAGTGACATTAGTTAAAGATACACAACATTTATTTACAAATCCCACGTAGTAAGCTGAGAGTTATCAATCACCTACTGTGTTACACAAAACACAGACCATTGTTAGATCAATCCTGCCAATTTATCGCGCGACTACCATATCATTGTTTCAGTGCAGGCTTCATGTTTGTTCTGTGTGTTGACAAAAGATAGATCTTGTCATGGTGTAGAGATTGATGTGGGAGTTGAGAAGCTAATTGTCAGTAGCTAATGCTAGTCACAAAATCTTGTTTTTTTTTATGGAATTAAGATATAAAGATAAAAATTTGTTGAAAGAGGCAAGATAAAATGATAAAGTTTAAATAACATGACAAAATAACATTTGATTATCTTGTAAATAAAATATAGTAGATCTCTATGGTCCTGCTATGAAATGGCTGAAGTCATATGGTTTATTCATCAGTATGTTGTTTCGTCACACTTTAGGTATATTCACACAACACTGAAACTGAAAAAGATATAGAATTCCCATAGATTCTGAATGAGATACTGTTAAGAAATAAATATCACACTCAAATATCCATAAAACCGTCTTAGGAGATGTCTAGTGAATATTTTGTTTGACAAATGAAGAAAAAAATCCAACCACTTTTGGTAAAGAAATAGTGAACACGAACAGATGAGTGATTTTCGGCCCTATGAAAGGTGAATCGATTTGGCATTAAATGCAGTGTTGAATGCAGTTTAATCACAACTCAATATTATGGATTTTTTTATGAAGAAATTAGGTCGCAGTAACCTTTGCTTTGAACTCGTTATGTGGGTGGTATGTCATTATTGGTTACTGTGCATGTTGTTTGTGAGCTTGGCCATGTTCTTGGTGTCAGGTGTAAAAGTGAACAATGATGGATTTTACAGCAAGTACTTAATGTATTCATAAAAGTGCTTTGTCTATATTGATTTAGTGCTATGTGGGAGGTTCTCTAGGATTTAGCTAGGATGTTTGTATTTGCATATAGATCAACACTGCCTATTGTCTGTAGCAGGGTATGTTGTCCATCCCACCCACATCATCTGGATTAGTGGGTATCAATGTATAGAAACGAAATTCAAACAAATACTAACGTGCAGCACCAGCACAGCCGATGTAACTGAATCTGTCACAGGAATTGGTACCGTTACTTGATTATAATTTCCATGTTCAAATGTCTCCTTTAATGAGGTGTGGGCTCATGCTTGTTTTGAACTATATTGGGCCATTATAGAAGTCAGTGACCAATTCGATTGTTATTCTGCATTTAAAAAAAGGATAGCTTACATCATATTCAGATGAAATTTGAAATGATGACCTCTAAAAATTTTGTAAATAACAGTACTGGATATTGTAAGTTTAAACATAAAATAATGCTGTCTATTTGGTCGCAACAGATTTCCCCACGCTGGCAATGCCAAGCTCTGGTAATGCAATATGACACAAAACATTCGTAATTTGAATCCAAGACAATGAATAATCTGTGGTCATTGACCAGGTACAAATCATCCTGGCTGTCATTTGAAATGAAATAGTTTCCTCCTACACAGGTTAATGTTTTCTGTTTGGATTGTCCTTGACATATCCAGACAATACTTCCATCAGATTACTATATTTCTGCATGAAAAGTGTTGTGTAATATCACTTACTGGTATGAATAATTAAGTGATTTAAAATGTTGTATTATATTTCTGAAGCACTGATCAACTGGATTTGCAGCATTTGTCTTTATCGAAATTGAAAATCAATATGGCATCATATAGATGGGAGTTGGTTAGGATGTGCAAGTTTCTACACAAAATAAAATGAAAATTTTTTAGCACCCTTGATGATGATGAGATAAAACAATCCCCTTCTTAAAGTACCAAAGACACACAGGTTATTGTCCCTTTCATTAAGTATATTCCACCTGTTTTAATCTGGGAGCAAACAGAACCACATTTTTTTATGATAATACAGAAAACAAAGCATGTAATCCACATTCACTACTTCTTAATATTATCTGTTTTAATCCTTTATCATATGCAGTGTTAAGGGATAATCTACAGGGAATGATAAGAGTTAGCTCCCTTTTAAATGTGTTTTCTACTTGTTTTGTGTGTTGCAGGAGAAGGAGAGGAAGAAGCGGTTGTTAGAAGCTGTTCCCAAGAGAGCTTCATCAAGGATCAGTCTGAAGCGGAAGGAATTAGAAGAACAGGTAAGCACATAAATTTGGGAACAATGATGTACATATATCATGAGACAATGACATTTTTAGACCACCATCACCAATCACCTGTGCCTGTGGTCAGTGGTCTGTCTGTCCATAAACAATTTTTGTTGTTGCTTTTTTTCAAGAAGTCCTCAATGGTCTTTCTCCAATTTCACATTAAGGTTTCTCTTTGTCCCTAGTTGTGACCATTTGAATTTAGGACTGGTAAGAAAAACAAAATGGCTGACAGGCAGCCATCTTGGAGTTTGCTTACTAAAGTTCCTTGTTGTGCCTATTTAATTTTGAACCAGATCAGAAGAAACAGAATGGCTGACAGGCAAACATTTTGGATTGAGCAGATAAAGATTATTATCAATATTTTTACAAAGGAATGATAAAATTTGTGTCATTTAAAGCAAAAACAGTGGAGAAAAGAAGGGAAAAGATCCAAATTTTGGATCCAAAATTAGGATGTCTTATTATTATGAAATTTGTGACATGCTTACTCGTTATAGATTGTTTTGCATCCTATCTAAATTGCTGATTTGAAACATTTTACAGCTGCTTTTGTAAAGTCAGGCCAGTTGAAAAAAAGGTTGAATTAAAATACACTGCCAACATCAATGTGTGAAAAGTTCACATTTAAACTTTAATGTGATATGTTATGAAAACAATTTAAAATTTTTGATTTTTTTGGTAAATTTGAAATTTTTAAAAGAGAACTAACAAATTTTGAAGGGTCACTTTCAACTGTAGAATATACTGAAAATTAGATTATTTATTTGGAAATAAGCCACTAAAAGTCCACAGTTTAAGTCAAGGGACTTCAAAGTTATGGAAATATTATGTTAATATTGCTGTTAAACAAAGCACCAATATGCTGATATCCTAAGGTGTAAAAAGTGTTCACACAGTGAGAGATTGTTGTATATGGTTTTTCTTTCATTTGAATTAGATATTTTTCAAAAGTTAAAAAAAAAAAACACATTTTAATGAATGTTATTGTAACTTTAGGAAAATAACTAACGAGAGTGAATGAAATACAGTATGTGACAACCACAAGTTTATATGACCTGTTTCTGCCGCAATAAAAAATATTTGCATGTTGAATTGACCTGTTCTGTACCCTGTGTGTTTTGTCTATGTCATCATTTGGAGCTGACTAATTAATATGTAAAACTGAGAATTTCAGAACTATATTGAGATATTATATCAAAATTCATTACAATTCCAAATTAGAAATAAATTGGTTTGTTATCTTCAAAGCAAAATAGGATATAGATAAAAAATAGAAATCAAATTGTTACTAAAACAATCATGAACTACTTACTGTTCTGATTTCCATGATTGCCTGAAGTGCCCTTCATGTCAGCTAATCAAAACATGCTGCAGTGTTACACAATATGTGCTATAACAGGTAAACTAATAATGATGTTATAAGTTACAATGATAGATAAATAGTCAAGTATACTGGTAAAGAATTGATACCTAGCTCTGTTTTGTTAGAGCACATGCCTAAGATGTGAATGAAATTTGAAATAATGAAACAAAAGTTGTTTGTGGACTGTCTGTTAGAAAATGGAATATGTCTCTGGAATTAGCTTGGATCAATGTTATATTTATTGGCTTTAGATCATAGTTAATTTTTCTCAAAAACAAATTTTACAAACCAATCCAATTTCTCGGAAATAGGACAAGAAAAATTGCAGAGGTTTTGACTTTAGTTAGGAGTTAGTTTGAGACAGAGACCCTGACGTAGCTTGTAGATATCATGTGCTGATTCTCCATTACTGGTAACAATGCTTCTGGTGGTGCTATACCATGTATCATCTGGTAGACAGAAACTACTAATCACAAATTTCTAAAATTGACTGTCCAGGAAACCAGACATTAAAGCTGTGGAGAGTTTGAGTGTCACCTAATGGGACTAAAGTGTTGGATTTTTGGTTTACAGGAGTAGAATTGGTTGGGACTGAGGCTGGATTGTTGGTTTGTAGAAACAGATAACTGATGGGGACTGTTAGGCTGGATTGTAGGTCTGTAGGCATAGTATAGTGGGGACTTGTCAGGCTGGGTTGTAGGTCTGTAAGCATAGTATAGTGGGGACTGTCAGGCTGGATTGTAGGTCTGTAGACATAGTATAGTGGGGACTGTCAGGCTGGATTGTAAGTCTGTAGGAGTAGAACTGATGTGGACTGTCAGGCTGGATTGTAGGTCTGTAGGAGTAGAACTGATGTGGACTGTCAGGCTGTATTGTAGGTCTGTAGGAGTAAAACTGATGGGGACTGTCAGGCTGGATTGTAGGCCTGTGGGAGTAGAACTGATGGGGACTGTGAAGCTGGATTGTAGGTCTGTGGGAGTAGAACTGATGGGGACTGTGAAGCTGGATTGTAGGTCTGTAGGAGTAGAACTGATGGGGACTGTCGGGCTGGATTGTAGGTCTGTAGGAGTAAAACTGATGGGGACTGTCGGGCTGGATTGTAGGTCTGTAGGAGTAGAACTGATGGGGACTGTCAGGCTGGATTGTAGGTCTGTGGGAGTAGAACTGATGGGGACTGTCAGGCTGGATTGTAGGTCTGTAGGAGTAAAACTGATGGGGACTGTCAGGCTGGATTGTAGGTCTGTAGGAGTAAAACTGATGGGGACTGTCAGGCTGGATTGTAGGCCTGTGGGAGTAGAACTGATGGGGACTGTGAAGCTGGATTGTAGGTCTGTGGGAGTAGAACTGATGGGGACTGTGAAGCTGGATTGTAGGTCTGTAGGAGTAGAACTGATGGTGACTGTGAAGCTGGATTGTAGGTCTGTAGGAGTAGAACTGATGGGGACTGTCAGGCTGGATTGTAGGTCTGTAGGAGTAGAACTGATGGGGACTGTGAAGCTGGATTGTAGGTCTGTAGGAGTAGAACTGATGGGGACTGTGAAGCTGGATTGTAGGTCTGTAGGAGTAGAACTGATGGGGACTGTCGGGCTGGATTGTAGGTCTGTAGGAGTAGAACTGATGGGGACTGTGAAGCTGGATTGTAGGTCTGTAGGAGTAGAACTGATGGGGACTGTGAAGCTGGATTGTAGGTCTGTAGGAGTAGAACTGATGGGGACTGTGAAGCTGGATTGTAGGTCTGAGGAGTAAAACTGATGGGGACTGTGAAGCTGGATTGTAGGTCTGTAGGAGTAGAACTGATGGGGACTGTGAAGCTGGATTGTAGGTCTGTAGGAGTAGAACTGATGGGGACTGAATGACTGGATTGTGGGTCTGTAAGAGTAGAACTGATGAGGACTGAATGTCTGGATTGTGGGTCTGTAGGTATAGTAGTGGAAACGATGAAGCTGGCTGGATTGTAAGCTTGTAGTACGATATTTTCAGGATAAGCCACAGCTTTTTTCCTTGGCAGTTGGGCTTACGGCTTATATACCAATGTGCTTTTTATGTGGATGAAAAAATCAGCAGAATGAAAAAAAAATTAAGTGTATCAGTACACCAGTACAAGATGGTAATAACTTTTTTTTACAAGCACCTGTGATTAATCATACCTTTTAATATGAGTCACAATAATGTCAACTAAACTTTCATGGTTGATTCAGAGGCCATAGCAGAAGCTTACAAGTAGCCTGTTGCATCCTTGGATTAATAGGTCATCAGGTTTTAGGTCAAATTCTAGAATGACAGCCATGCTTGTTTACAAAGATCATAAGAATGGCTTCACGCAACTTACCAGATATATTAAGGGACTATAAGAATTTTGTCAGCATGCAAGGGCCTTCGCTAATACTAAGCAGTGCAGACACCGATGGAGACGTGGGTAAAGAAACTGAACAGAACATTGGCACTATATCTGTGCATAGACAATCTTTGGAGGCTCCCAAGTCAAACAAGTTTGATAACTGCTATTTACATTTTTGAAATATATCAATATAATAAATGATTATCGGTGTATAATTCATTCAAAAACTTATATTAAATGTTTTACTGACAACCTTGATAGACTGGCTTCCGTTGTCTGTTATATCAACGAACTTGGTCAACATAACAGTTACCACATCGTAAGAAAGGGTGTGACTTAAATTCCGGTGCAGCTAGTATGTAGATCAATTGAAAAAATCAGTAAAATAGATTCTGATGCTTGCATTCCAGTGCAGTTTATAACATGGAAAATACGGTAATACAGAACTGATTGGGACTGTGTGGCTGGATTGCAGTTTTCTTAGAGTAGAACTACTGTAGTGGGGGATTATGGGTTGGATTGCAGGTTTGTTGGAGTGGAACAGGTGGGTTCTTTGGGGTTGGATTGCAGGTCTGTAGGAGAAGAATTGTTGAGGAGTGGGAGTCGGATTATGGGTTTGTAGGAGTAGAACTGGTGGGGACTTTTGGGTAGGATTGTAGGTTGGAATCAGGGGTTATTGTTCCTGGAAAATGTATATCACAGGTTGGGGACTGAAGTGTTGTCCCTGACTTGGATTGTATGGTTGGATTGTAGGTGTTTGTAAAAGTAGACTGTCAGTAGAATACGTCCCTGACTTGGATTGTTGGGCTGGACTTTGAAAATAACCATACTAACAAAACAAGGCAGGTGAGACTTATGATTATGTATAATTCTTGTTTCATTAATTGCATTAACTTTCAGATTAATTGAAGCTGATGGTGAAACACCTCAGACATTGTTTATACAAGCGTCCCAGCAGTAGGTAGTTATCTTGGACAGGGTTAAGATTCTTCAGGTTGTGCAGACGTTTAACATATGGTAGACTGTATATAAAACTTGGGTGCAACAGTAAGGTCTGTTATGCAGCCACCATCATTTGAAATACAACCTAGACAATCCGACCCTTTGATGTATCTAGCTGAAGATTTTTTCACTGTTTTTCCACCTGTAAATTTATTTTGAATAAGATATTTTTGTCTAGGGAAGGTATTTTACATGCTTTTAGACAAGACAGCGAACCAATTGACTTCAAAAAGTTCTATATTTCCTTCCTACAAGATTCTTTAAATAAGTTGGTATGCCATTAATAAGAAATGCTCATTAAGTAAATTTTTCTTTCAGTTTTTCATGATCAAAAACTTCTCATTGCTAGCTGCCAAATCTTTTTCATTATTATCACATAAACTAAAAAGAAGTTGTAAGATCTCTTTGGAATACACACTTTTTTCTGTCAGTTAGAGTTACGTAAAGTGTCTTGTTATTGAGCAAGAAGAAAATTGATCACCTTTATATATAGTCAAAGCATGAAGAATCGTGTCTACTTGAAGTATATTTGATCAATTCAGAAATAAAGATGAGGTAAATGTCATTTCCTGGGCATGGATTGGGGGTGGGGGGGGGGGGGGGTGGGGGGGGGAGTTAGTTTTTATTAATAAACAGATTTTTAAGCACTGTAGAATTTGATAAGGTCAATTAAGAAAAGGGATATGACACTAAAATACAAGTAATCTTTACAACTAAAGAGAAAATTGTTAGATCAAACTGTAAGTCAGGGGGGGGGGGGGGGGGGGGGGGGGGAGTTAGTTTGTATTAATACACAGATTTTTAAGCACTGTAGAATTTGATCAGGTCAATTAAGAAAAGGGATATGACACTAAAATACAAGTAATCTTTACAACTAAAGAGAAAATTGTTAGATCAAACTGTAAGTTTCATGCAGTAGAGCATTCTTCATAAGTAAAAGATACAGAAAGTCATACAGTGGCTGAGTCTCTTGTTATGTAAGTGTAGGATCAAAGAACTACAGGCAAAATTTAGATATCATGATTATATAGACAAGTTTTTATTTGTACAAAAATATTTTTGATATCTTTTTATCACCATCTTACATACAACAACTTGGGATGGTTTTTTGTCCGCTATAAAGGGCCTTCGGCATCCATCGGCTGAAGGGATTATCGAGACACGTAAATCTACACCACTGCTCTCAATTTAAATGTATAATTTTGTGTATTTGTTTTTAAGTTCTTTGTATGTGATGTAATTTATATAATATTTATGTCTTGATAAAAGAGCAGGTTGCCTTGAAAATTTGACAATTTGCTTGTCTGTACTGTTGCTATTACTTCATTTATATGGATTAAAATAGATTTCATCCAAAAATTGTATATCAGATCGTTGTTCAGGTCACTTTTCTCTTTGTCAGGATAATATGACCTGGTGAGGTCATGTTTCTGATGTTAAATGATCACATTTCAGTTGAAATAGAGTTGGTCAGAATTACAATGCTAAATAACAGATAAATCATTGTTCTTACTTTTACAGGAAGCTATTCTGGCAGAGGCAGAGGCTGAGGAAGAGAAACAGAGGAAACTAGAGGAAGAAGAAAAGAGGAAGCTATTGGAGATAGAGAAAGAAGAAGAAGAAAAGCGTTTGAGAGAGGAACGACAGAGGAATAGAGAAGGTATTTCACAGTTATATAAGTATATTTAAGACTGGAAGAGCTGAAGAAAATCATATACCAAAATTACCCTGCAATAGGCTTATGTTTGGTGGTAAGCCCATGTATATCCATATCATTTCTATAGAAATTGATTGTCCTGTAATAAGCCCACTGTCCGACTTTGAATCAGAGGTAATGTGTTGATCTCTTGGGCTTCTTGCTTTAAAAAGACAGTAAGTTCATAAGAAATTGCTGAAACAAGCACACAGTCATGGTTGATATTGGATGGTTTGAGACTTTGTCATTTGGATATGGTGTTATGAATATATGACAAAGTTTTGGTTTTGTTTTAAGCATATGTGAAAGCCATTTTTTGTAATTATTGGGATATCCATCATTAATTGACACATAAAATTTTGATATTGTGCGAAGCTTTCTGAAACTATCATTCTTTATCTGGCAAACTTTTTCTGCGAGTATAATCCGTTATCTAACAAACCTTTTGTGTGACTATCATCCTTTATCTAATAAACCTTTTGTGTGACTATCATCCTTTATCTAACCAACCTTTTGTGTGACTATCATCCTTTATCTAACCAACCTTTTGTGTGACTATCATCCTTTATCTAACCAACCTTTTGTGTGACTATCATCCTTTATCTAACCAACCTTTTGTGTGACTATCATCCTTTATCTAACCAACCTTTTGTGTGACTATCATCCTTTATCTAATAAACCTTTTCTGTGATCATCGTCCTGAACATCATCACACACCACCCCTACCTCATTCATTTAATCTAACTATTATTAAAGAATAAATACATGTACATTTTGAGTTATATCAAAAGATCTTAATGATGGATATCAATTCAATTCTATATGATTTCAGAGCGAGCAAAACGACTGGAGCAGAGAGAACAGAGAGCACAGTTGATAGCTGAAGGGAAAGAGATCCCACCTGAACTTCAGTACACTGCATCTTCATACAACAGCAAGTATAGGGAGGAAGAGGATAACGTGGGGTAAGGGCACATAATTCTGCTCAACCAAAACTGCCATTTATGTAATATTTGTGGAAAGGCTATTTTTTCTCTCTGATCTCAATTAAGTTTCTGATAATTGCCCTTTCTACATCATGGGTATGGCCTTCAATGTCGACTTAATTATGCTCTGTCTTTTGCTACTACACCATTAGATTGAATTTTTATATCGTTCTATTCTCCAGGGAGCTGTCCTTTATGCTAATTGCAAGCATAATTTTTCAAATGTAGGTCGAAGGTCACGGTCAAGATCACATGGTCAAAAATTTCAGTACCACCGGAAAAGTCTTTTCACAAGGAACACACATGTCAAATATGAAAGCCCTACCTCTTACAGTGCATAGTTATGGGCAAGGTTAAAGTTGACAACAGACAAACAGACAGACAGCACAAAAACAATATGCTCCTTATCTTTAGATCTGGATACATAAAAATGAGTCTTTGTTTATGGGAATTGTAATTCCCAAAGCAGAACATCTTGAGTAATTAAGCAAGAGAAACTATGCTGGTGAAGTTAGTGTAGTGTGTTATATATGTTACACAATTTTATGTATGGAGATAATTTTTCACAGAAAAATATTTCAATTTTCAGACAACATCCAGAGTTAGATGATGAAGATATTGAAGAAATGGAAAAAGGTTAGCTAGCCTTGCTTTGTGGTTAGATATTTCTATGTTGTAGCTTATATACTGCGATCATAAAGACATGTGATTGTTAGATTTGATACTGATCCTTTCACCTCGCCTCCTTACCTTACAGATTGAATGTAATTTGGGCTATTTAGACAGCCTAGGAGTTAATTTTATAATATAGATGTCAATTTTTTAAACAAGAACAATTTAAAGAAACAAAAATTTTACATCTTGCTTTTAGTGCTCGAAACAGTGAAAAACCATAAAGATGCCTGGCCTTTCATGGAACCAGTTGATGAAGAAGTTGCTCCAGGTTACCATGACATCATCAAGGTAAAATCAAATGTTATCAGATGGTATCAGAAATGACATTAAACAGTTTTTCTTATACATTTTGTTAACTCAGTTACCAGAGTATTGCTTGATAACTTTTCAATATTTCTATGAAGAAATTATGCCAATTGTACCAATATTTCACTTCTCTGTAAAAGGCTTTTAAAAAAATTTCTGTGTTTGTATTATCAGAGATTTCATAGAGGAAGAGATTTGGTCAGGGCTATGGAAGAGCTTTAGGTATCAAACAGGATTTCTTAGAAATCATATTTGACTTGACTATGTAATTGGCATGTTAACATTGTCCTGATATCATTAGCAGCAGTCAAATTATTTTGATCTAGGTGTGTTGGTAGGTGTAGCTTTGACTCCTTATGTCGCTTGCCAATTCCCCAAAAGTGTCCCTAACTTAATTGTCTTCACAGTGTAGTTCCACGTAGAGTTGAGAGAGTTATGTCCCTTCCCATTTTCCAAATGGATATAGACTCATTACTGTTACTCTGATCAATGATCTATTGAATAGGGTAGGGATAGGACAAGACCTAAATACAAACATATGTTTAAACTATGTTTAAATGTTAAAGGGAAAGAAGTTGCTAAGGTTTTGGTTTAGTAGCTTTTCAGTAGGGAATAGCTGTCAGTTTTATTTGATCAACTTGCTTTCGATGATATGGAGCAAATATCTGATATGAATGTGAAACATTGTATTTGATTTCTGTTTTTTCATATATAGAAACCAATGGACTTGTCTCTTATTGAGAAACGGTTGAAAAACAGAAGCTACAAATCTAAGAGACGATTTGTCAAGGATTTTAACCTGATGTGTGAAAACTGTCGACACTACAACGGGATGGAAAGTGGTCTGTATTCTTGTTTATAAGCCATGTTAAATTATTTTGTATAAAGTCAATAAATTTTTGTCTGTATATGATTACGCTTCTTTACAATTTCAGAGTGAGAATAAATGCTATTAGCATCATAACCAATCTCACAAAATATTTCTGATGTGTTATATATAACACATTTAGGCATTGAAATGGAACTATATCAGCCATATCAAATGTCTTTCAAACTTCATAAAGAATGTCCTACTATTAGAAGAAGGGGATGTAAATTTTCGTGTTTGGAGGTACAGGAATGTAGGAAATTAATCAATAACAAAGAATTATCGATTTTGTATTCCGATCTTCAGTATTCTGATTTAAAAAGTCACTCTTAAAAATTATTTACTGAATATGACATTTCATGACTGTTCTTGGTTAAGAAGGCAGATGATAAAGCTTAACATTGCCTGAAAGTCTTTATACATGTCTATATAATACTGACCTCTGACCTGTCAGACCTGGGACTGATGGCCCAGAAGCTGCAGCGCTGTGTCAACAAGGCTGTGCGTTTCCACATGGACAAGGTGAAAGACAACTATGAGGCAGATGAGGAGTTCCGTATCACACAGGCGGTGAGAGCTGAGAAGAAGTACCGGCCTAAGAGGGCAGCCAGTTCTCGAGCCATGGATACCCTCCACCGTGCCATGAACTATGATGATGATTTTGAACAGGTGAATTGTCATTCTGGTCTGGAAATTTATCTAAGGTTCTTTTGTATCATCTTTGAAACATATATGCATTCAAATGTGTCTGTGATCTGTCGCCCATCCGTAAACAGTTTCTTGTTATCACTTTTTCTTGGAAAATGCTAGATGGATCTTTCTCAAATTGCATATGCAGGTTCCCCTTGGTCCCTAGTTGTGCCCATGTAATTTTGGGACTGGGACTGACAGGCAGCCATCTTAAATTTTTTCAATGAAGTTTGTTATCGCTATTTCTTGGAAAGTAAGAAATTGCTCTCAAATTACATGTGTAGGTTTCCCTTGGTCTCTCATTTTGCCCATGTAATTTTGGGACTGATCAGGAAAATAAAATGGCTTACAGGTTGCCATCTTGTATTATGACTTTGAAAGTTTGTTATCAATATTACTTGAGAAGTACAGGATGAATCTTTCTTAAATTTCATATGTAGGTTTGCCTTAGTTCCTAGTTGTGCCCATGTAATTTTGGGACTGATCAGAAGAACTAAATAGCCCAAAGGAGGCCATCTTGACTTTGATCTCTCTAGATCTTTCTCAAATTTCTTGTATAGGTTCCTTTAGCTTACTTGTTATACATGTTTGAGTTTGAGGCTGATCAGAAAAACAAAATGGGCGACAGGCAGCCATGTTGGATTTTGTCTAGTAAAGATTGTTTTTTCTATTTCCTAAGAAGTACTGAAAGGATATCTCTCATATTTCATACATATGTTCCCTTTGGTCTCTATTTGTGCTTATTTGATTTTGAGACTGATACAGAAGAAAGAAATGGCTTCCAGGCGACCAGTTTGGATTTGGCAGATAAAGATGATCATCACTATTTCTGCAAAGGAATGTTCAAATGTCTTATCATTAACAGCAAAAAGAGAGAAGAGAAAAGAATGGAAAAGATCCAACTTTCAAAAGATATATATCTCTTATAAAGATCAAACAATGTTGGGAGACAAGATCCCTTTTGGATCTCTTGTTGTTGTATATTCATAATCTTTGTTATCATAACCATAAAGATGTAAACCTACTTGTGCTCAAACATGCAGTTCCACTGAATCTAATGCTAGGAAATGTTTCATAGAAAAATCACACACCTTTCTTCATGT